TATTTACTTCTATTCACCTGCTTATTTACTTCTATTCACCTGCTTATTTACTTCTATTTACTTCTATTCACCTGCTTATTTACTTCTATTCACCTGCTTATTTACTTCTATTTACTTCTATTCACCTGCTTATTTACTTCTATTTACTTCTATTCACCTGCTTATTTACTTCTATTCACCTGCTTATTTACTTCTATTCACCTGCTTATTTACTTCTATTTACTTCTATTCACCTGCTTATTTACTTCTATTTACTTCTATTCACCTGCTTATTTACTTCTATTCACCTGCTTATTTACTTCTATTTACCCGTCTATTAACCTGCTAATTTACTTTTATTATTTTTTAGGTTGATTTAATTGCTTAATAACAGTCTTTCTACTATCCGCATTCAATTTCTATTCAATTTACCGGTCTTTTTAACTGCCTACTCTTTTTTTTTTTTTTTACCTATTTCTATTGACTTTATTTACCTGCTTATATGCACCGGCTAACCCAGTCCCACGTTTGTTTATGCACCTGTCAACACATACAGCTGTTTGTTTATGCACCTGTCAACACATACAGCTGTTTGTTTATGCACCTGTCAACACATACAGCTGTTTTTTTATATGTTATCTGATCCGTTGGACATGGTTCTTTTAATGTCACTAATGCCAAACCCAACCTAAGATCTGTTTCTACGCAATGAAGTTTTTTGAAGTTGGATTGAACACACACACATCTTCAACTAACTTCATCTCTGTGTCCCTCAGGACGGAGGGCGAGGTGAAGCACTGCGTCATCAACAAGACGGGCACCGGCTTTGGTTTCGCCGAGCCCTACAACCTGTACGGCTCCCTGAAGGAGCTGGTGCTGCACTACCAGCACACCTCGCTGGTCCAGCACAACGACTCGCTCAACGTCACGCTGGCCTTCCCCGTCTACAGCCAGCAGAGACGGTGACCCGCCTGCGGGACTCTTCATCAACACGTCACCGTAGCTGCAGAACCAGAACCTGACCACATGACGCGTTTACCGCTTGGCACAACAGCGTCCTGGTGCTGCAGACCTCAGTGGGCCAATGAAAGTGTACAATCCAGTACACTGAAGATGAAGCTTTGTGTGAAGTGAAATGCTTTGTTACATCCTGTAGGAATGGTGAACAATTTAAAATGAATATTTTACTGTGAAAGTCATCAATGAGAGCTTTAACTTCCTGAGGAAAAAGACTTCAAGACACCAGGTTTCTCCCTTAAATTAACACAAATGTTTTAATTACTTTAATGATTCGGTGCCGGAGATCAACATTAAATGCAATTTACCTTCATCAGAGATGACCCATGGGACATCAGATGAGGGGCGTTCGAGTAAAAGACAGACGTTCATCAATGCTCTCTGTCATTCCAAATCTAAAGAAACGTTGTTTGATTAACGAAAATGATACAATTGAATGAAGTTGTTCTTAGGAATCGCTTTAAACTGGCTAGAGACAACTTTTCTGCTCTTAGACTTTTCAAGTGGTATTATCGTTTCATAAGACCGTTTTGACCTAGAAACGCAGATGTTGGTGCTATTAGAATGGTGCTGAAAAAATGCCCTTAGTAATAATCAGAAGGCAGTTTTGTTTCACACTTATCTAGTAAAATGCAAACTTAAACATCTGAAGAGTGGGAGCTCTCTCCATCTTCTTTAACTTAGTTTTGTATCCCTCTTTGCCTCCCTCGTCATCGAGGCTTTATTATATCCTAAAGTTTCTTAAGATGTAACGACGTCCACCACTTGTGCTACCTTGGGGACTTTACTTTTGAAACTTGGGAATGCCACAGGAGAAACAAAATTGCGATCTTCTTCCTGTTTTTGTTACTCAAAGATTGATTCCCTTATTTCTGCCGTATATGGATCCTTGAATTTCCCAGTGGCAGCCAGAGTTACAAAGTGAAAGCTAGGCTTATATAGAAACAATCCAAAAGCAGATGGTTGTTATTCTGTATCAAATATTTTGCGCAATCATGGTTTCCTCCATAATGAACGTTACTGTGGGAAAAACAATTGTTTATCGCTACTTTAATGCAACCTGAGCTCAAGGTCAAATGAAACAAATACCTGAGAGGCGAGATGGAAGAGGACCGTTCAGGTTAACCTACCTAAAGAACTTGAACGCCTCAGGCTTATCGGAGACACCCTGTGCGATCATGACCTCAGTGAAATGTCACCGTTTCCTGTCTGAGGAGAGAAGATGAACTGAAGAGCTAAACGTGCTCTTGTTTTGTCGGAGATTAACCGGACTAAAGCTGAACTGACCAACTCCTCCTCTACTTGTTACACTGGCCCTGCACGCTTCAAAAGAACAGAACCAAAACTATGGACTGATGATGTCAAAGACTAAAATGGCGGACAATCGAGAGACGTTTCTTGCGTAAACACTGTGAGTTGCTCTGGACAAGGTTTAACATGAGGGCAAATCAGGAGAAAATAAACAGGAAACCTGCATCATCCAAAGACTCACCCCCCCCCCACCCCACCCCAATAATCCCATCAGTGTTTTTCTAGCTCTCGTTCCTTCAGGTGAGTTGGTTTGCCACCTAAGTGTTGTTTAAGTTTGCTGACTGGACTGATTATCCTTACATTTTTTCATTTCAATAAATGTCCGTCAGCACAATGGTTTACTCGTGCTGGATAAAAACTGTGATTTTAAAAATTCAGGAATGGCAGAACTGGATCTCTGGATCTTCTCAAAGGATTTTCATCTTAAATTTCAAGGACTAAAGCGCAGCCTGTAAGCATTACTGATCGCAGATATCTGCTCCTCATGGTTCCTCTTATGGATTTTATGTTTTCTTCTTTGTGCATTTGGACACACGGCTTCCTTTTAAACCAGGTACAGGAGATGAAACTCTCCAAGGATTTTGAAGAAGCCCAAAGTATTACATTATTTTCCCACAACTTGCATCTGTTTTATGGAAATAAATACATGGTTTCAAATTAGTTTGGAACTGTCCAGAACTTTTCAAGCTCTTATTTGACTTATTCCACAGAAGTCCTGTTTTTTCATTCTGACATTGAAACCAAACTAGTGAACGCAAACAAGAATCTGTAATATGAGACGATAACAAGTCGTGAAAAGTTAATTGTTTAAGAATTCTGACGAATAAAATGACTGTCTCTGCTTTGTTTGAAACAAATCTGTAGATAAAAATAATATTAATCAGTGTGTGTTTGACCTTTTTCTATTTCCGATGTTGTGCTCCAACAATCACATTCAAGTCCCAGAAACACGCCTCAGATTTGGTCCAAATCATTTTAATGTCCAGAGACTCCCAGCAGAGGACAGTATAATCCATAGAAAATAGGATTTATTTAGATAGAACTCCATTAAATGCACATCAAGTATTCCACTTTTCTTTAAATGTGTATAGGTGTTGTTAACAATTTTCTATGCTATATTATGTTGTTTGAGTAAATTATTTTAAAAATATGACTAGATATTGTCATGTATGCTAAACTAGCCCTCTAAGACATAGTGGCACTTTGAGCTAAATGCTAATATCGGTGAAAAAGTGTGGGACCAAAATAACTATCTTCTAAGTAAGGCCACATTCAAAGTTAAAACTTGCGTAAAGGTGAGGTATGTAATTTTGGAGAAACCAGCTCGAGTGCGCTAGAATTTGAAAGTAGACAAACCGGAAAAAATCTGCCACTTCCTTACAGAGCCCCTCCTCCAACACACGAACGCGTACATGACCAATGAGGGCACGAGATTAATTTGTGCACAGGTGGAAGGCTGACAGGAAGGTAGGCCATCAAGTTATTTTAGCCGGGCCGGCTCAGATTATTGGTCGTGCTTTTTACAGTACTACGGCTTCCACAGAAGAATTTTTGGAAATGTATTTATTGTCAAAGCAGTTAATATATTCATTGCTATCGGGATGTTAAGAGCATTCCATGGAATATAACAAAAAGTGTTTCTGAAATAAATTACATAGCCCACCTTTAAATGTATCTATTAAAATGTGAATTGACTTAAAGGTAGGGTGGTTAATTCACTTCAGAACAATTTGTTATATTCCATGGAATGCTCTTAACATCCCGATAGCAATGTATATTAGTATATTAAATGCTTTGACAATAAATATATACAAATATTTCATCTCTGGAAGCCGTGGCGCTGTAAAAGCACGACCAATCATCTGAGCCGGCCCGGCTAAAATAACTGGATGGCCTACCTGCCTGTCAGCCTTCCATCTCGTGCACAAACGTATCTCGTGCCTTCATTGGTCATGTGCGCGTTCATGTGTGTTGGAGGAGGGGCTCTGTAAGGAAGTGGCAGATTTTTTTTGGTTGTGTATTTTCAAACTCTAGCGCACTCAAGCTGGTTTCTCCATTCTTACCTACCCTACCTTTAAGCAAGTTTTAACTTTGAATGTGGCCTTACTTTGAAGATTCACATTTCCTGTCATATAAAACAATACATGTGTTATCTCAGTAAAAAATTTCCAAAGAAATCTTACATGAAAACTTTCTCTAGATCTTTCTGTAAATTACACAAAGATGACATTTGTTTTCTATTCAAAATTACATTACAGAGAAACAAACACCTTGCGACAAATGTTAGATTAAGGAAATGACAGTTTGAAAATAGTCATCTAGCTAACTTTAATCTCAATAAATCAAATGGAAACAAGCCCTTCAGTTAACATGCAATGTATTATATAAGTATTAAACAGTTGTTGCAGAGAAGAAAACTAAAAACAGAGGTATGTTTTTATCAGAACGGTGGCACAATGTGATCATAGCATCGATCAGGCGAATGTGATCAGGTATTCTGGGTACGCCTGGATGTCATTGAAGACTACAAAGATGGTTGGATTGGCGTTGTTATCTGCCACACTGTCGTACAGGTCTGTAGCATTGCTGGAGCTCTTGGTGGGGGGGGTGATCATGCCGGCTCTTCCCGTGGTGAAGTCTCCCACCAGGACCATAGCCAGATACATGCGCTTGTGCTGCCTGGTGTCAGGTTTAGCGTAGCCCTGTGAGTACGATGAGTTCACAGCAAAGTAGGAACCATTGCCGTACGCCGCACCTACAGAACAAAACAGAGAAGAAACTTGATTTCTATCTAAAGGTGTTGTGATAATGAAGATGTCAATGGGCACTCCACTATGCCACGGTCAACGGTGTGTTAATGTTGGAAAAGCTCTATGTAAATGTGTCCACCTTCTGTCTTCTATGACACTTGAATGCACTGTGTAGTTGACTAAGAGAAGAGTATTTTAAGAATGTATTGACTTTTGGTTTAGCCGTTGCATCAACACTGTGAAATGGCTGTAGCTGAAAGTGACATGGAATATTTGGGCAGGTTTTACCACGTCGTTTTGGGAATTGCTCCATTAAAAAATAAGGTAGGACTTAAGCTGCATTCACGTGATCGGCGATTA